ATCCTAAACACTGAACCTTTAATGCTGAAAGTGAAAACCGTCAAAGTTTGACCCAGAGAAGAAGAGGTGATGAGGAGTGACCTACTTACATCAGAGCCATAGTTGATTGCCAGAGTCTTCAGGGCCCAGGGAAGACCAAGCCCCACCAAGATGTCAAACACGTTACTGCCAATGGAATTGGACACTGCCATGTCTCCCATTCCTGAATAGACATGCAGAGACAAAGTTGAAAAGCAGCAGAAAAACATGGAACAGGAAAAGAGAGGTACAGAGAGATGAAAGGGAAAGTGAGTGGGCAACGAGGAGACAGGAAGGGTGTGCAGGAGTGTGTGAGGGGGGAGGCTGCGACAGGTTGAGATAGAGGTAGGCTGATACAGGCCAGATCAGTAGAGCTATCTGTCCGACTGACGTCCCACAGAAACAACGAAGCGGCAGCGGCTACAAAGCAAAGGACGGACAACTCAACTGCGGTGGCGAGTGTGCGTCTCCCGGTGAGCCCCCACACACAGACAGACAGAGCCGTTTAAATATTTGATGACAGGAGCAAGAATAAACACAGATGAAAGGATGGAGGAAGGGAGCCCGTCGTGCTGTCTTCCCTCGCCAGCCGCCCCCCCTTCCTCTTTTACAGCCTTGCCACAGGGACAGAAGAGGGACAGCGGAAAAAGATGACAGGCCCAAAATCTTAACCTCCCCCACTCCTCTCCACACCCATTTCTATCTCTGTCATCTCCTCCCCTCTTTGATAGTGGCTTCACTTTGATGCTGATGTTTGGCTTCCATTGGGCTGTAGATGTGTGTGTATTTGTTTTAAATGAGGCTCGGTAACATGTTTGTGTGTGTGTGTTTACCTTGCCGTGCCACTATTAGGCTGGCCATGCAGTCAGGGACGCTGGTGCCGGCTGCCAGGAAGGTGATGCCCATGATGACATCTGGGATACCGAGTGTGAAACCTATCACTGTTACCTGACCGACAGACAAAGACAGAGACAGACTATTACTGCTTGTATTTCAGCAGTTGTGCGTGCCCTTGTGCAACCTTGGCGTGTGAAGAGAAACAAAACAGGGACCCATTCGCACAAAAACACACAACTGTCCAGAGGGAAACATTAGTTAGCCAGAAAAATGTCTCCAAATGAATGCTAATGTTGTTCTGTGTCTACTGAATCTGTAAATAAGCCTGGCATGTTCACCATATCAACTTTATCAGGTGCTAATATGGCAGTGTTACTCACAACTTGTTACAACTACCCCTCAAGTGGCAAAAAGAATCAGTTAAAGCAACTTTAAAGCCAACATTCACTAGCTAATGCTAATAATGCTATGTGTCTGCTCAGTGTGTAAACATTTAGTGGTTAGCCAACTTTAAAATGCCAGCACACATTTTGACTTATTACAGTCTTGAAAGGTTCATATGGCTAACATGTTGGCAGACATTGCTAATTTACACATCCAGGAGCTACGGAGCAACATTAGCATTTATTTGGAGTCATGTTTCTTGCCACCTGATGAATGTTGTCCAATATTCCCTCTCCTTTTAACTCTCTCTACCAGCTTTTGAGGACAATATTGGCTCGTTAGCTACTAAATTTGATCCCCAGCTAGTTGCTAACTTTGTCTGCTGTTTGGTGCTGGAGTACAGTGGATTTTTAGGGCTTTTTAAAAACACAGAAAACTCCTGCTGCCTGCTGATGCTGAAAACAAAGGTAATAATAGTGGTTAGAGTGAACCAAAACAATAATACTGTGTGCCTTAAAATCTGAACATGACCTGAAAGATGCTAAAAAAGACCTATATGTGTCGGCTTCACTTTTGGGGAGTCATGTCGTCCATCTTTATATACAGTCAATGGAGATAACTGATGCTGTAAATGTCAACAAGCTAATGTCAGCTGTCTATTACACATAGTCTGTTGATGTAAAAATACTGATTTCTTTAAGAAAAAAAGTTGCTTTACTTCGTTCTATTTAAGCATGGAGGTAGTTTTAGCTTACCAGATACCACTGCTGCTTTGTGTTATCCCTAATCACACTATTAATGTTACTTCGTTTGTATATTTTTTTGCGCTCCTCAGGGCTGCAAACAAAAAGAACAAAGCTGGTATTGATCTTGTTCGTAATTTTTTGAGCATGTTTTCTGGCTGCACTACTGTCAATGTGCTACTAAATTGCTGTACCTCCGCTTCCAGCAGAGCTTCCTTGCTCCAGTTTGGTTCTTTTTTCATTCCACTGCAGCTCCTTTAGCCACATAAAGAAGAATGAAACTATTGTCTATTCTCTGTTATGGGCCTAAAGGACACTTTATTCATTTAACATGTTAATTGCTACTGGAGACATTAAAATGTAAAACAAATAGAGCCACACAAGCTGTAGCAGAAAAGCATATCAATGAGAAGTGTCAGGGGTGAAGTGTTTTTTTTTTTCATCTAAATATCTGTCAGTTTGCCTTCCCCCTTTTTTCTCCCTGTCTCTCACCATCCAGACCATGATGTAGGAGAAGGCGGCGATCCACAGGGTGGAGGCGAAGAAGGACAGCATGAAACAGTTGTCCCAGCGAGGTGTGGAGCAGTTGGGGACGGTGAAGTACAGCAGCAGGCACAGAGGCCAGGCCAGCAGCCACTTCAGCTTGTTACACACACCGGCTGCAAACACACATGGCAAGACACAGCGTCAGATACATGGGCTGTGTGGAGAGGGAGGAAGGCAGATTATTATATCTTCTCATGCTATAAACGTCCTCTAAAATTGATGGTAAACACTGTCATCTACACATAACAATAGTGTGTCTATGGATGCATTTGAATTTGATGCAGATAGAATTCATGCATTGTTACGGTATCTGATATGCAAGATGTATATACAAAGTGCAACACAGATGAACAAATGAATGGATAAATGCAGTGTTTCAAAAAGGCAAGATGCAGACCTATGATCAATAACATAAGGCTGGAATTCAGAAACATAAAAATGAATCAATTACTAAACTTAATAAATTGTCCTCAAACTTCCACTTTTAATCCAAAAGCAAACCATTTGATAAGAATTACTCTTGCATCATCTTGCAGACTTTCAACAATAAATGCTCACACTCGTGACTGAAAGATAAATAGCAAACAGAGTTGTGGTTCTGCTTTTAATCACAATTTGTGTTTTTATCTAAATAAGATAACAGCAAATCTATCAATTCACTTTAAACTTTTTGTGATTGCATTTTGGGATTTCACCCTTTTTATTTATTATTTTAAGCCTTTATCTGTGTTATATGCTCTGATTACTACACCAGAGAGTCTGCTGGTTAAGTGGAAACTGAAGCATGCTGTGTCAAAATAAAATAAGCTAACTGTACCAAATGCTCAGCGCTACATATCCAAACTACAATGCTCCCGTATCAAAGCAATAGTTCAATGTGGGAAACACACTTATTCTCTTTCTTTGCAATTTCAGCCCAGTGTGTTAAATACGGTGTTGGAGTCAGGGTGTAGACTGAAAGCAGGAGATAACAACTAGCTGGACTCAAACAGTCAGACAGTCAGAGATATGCCTACTGACCGACCTACCTCCAATGGTCACTAATTCACAAAAACGTATCTAGTTAATTTAACCTGTAAAGATGGGAGTATCTATGCTCCCGGGTCCCATGTTCTCAGTAATATAGACCAGTGTGCCGGTGCACCTCAAGCTACAGCCTCTGTCTGTAGAATGCCTTAAACCTAACCCTAAGTGTAATCCTGGGAACACAGAATCTTGGGAACATAGCCCTGGGAACAAAGGAGCTTTGGAACAGAGGATCTTGGGAACATAAGACCTTGGGAACAGAGGAGCTTTGGAACAGAGGATCTTGGGAACGTAAGACCTTGGGAACAGAGGACCTTTGGAACAGAGGATCTTGGGAACATAAGACCTTGGGAACATAGGAGCTTTGGAACAGAGGATCTTGGGAACGTAAGACATTGGGAACAGAGGACCTTCGGAAAATAGGACCCTGGGAACATAGGAGCCTTTGTCATGTATAAATCTGGGGAACATAGGACCCTGGGAACATAGGAATGACCTCGTAAACATACAGAAATGTAAAAATATAATTACAAATTGTGGGCAGGTACTCTTGGGAAAAGGGCAAAAAAAATGTGAATGTACAGTATTTCTTTAACCAAAAGTGAAACAAAATAAATAATTTTTCAATAACGGAGTGATAACACATTCCACACAGATGCATCTGCAGCAGGTACCTGGACACTGGAAGGGTACAAACGGTCCCTCTCTGTCCTCTTCTTCTTCCTCTTCGTCATTCTCGTTGTTCTCATTGTCCTCGTTCTCTGTCTCGTTGCCCGCCTCTCGATCGTCATGGCGAACACTGACACCCCTCTCGGCCCCGGACAGCCCATTTTCTATGCCCCGCCTACTTCCTCCTTTGGCTGGAACATCCGAGTCACCGTTGGTCAAAGTCCGTGTGTTGATGAGACGCTGCCTCTGTATCACACACAGTTACACAAACAGTGTGGGTTGTAAGCTTGTAACCTTCAAGCCTTGAATTGAGACATCCAAGATTAACGGGCTGTGATGCAGCTCATACTGTAACAGACAGTCAACATTGTCAGTTGTGACTTACTAGCAGTTTGTCATTAATACAATGACTGGGCAAGTGAGCAGCTGTTCATGCAAACATGTTAAAAATAAAATTAAAGCTGCAAGCAGCGTTGGGCGGGCCCTCGCACTCCACGCAACTCGGGGCGTGCTGCGGCCGCGTCACGTGCCGTCGTAACACGTGCGGACCACAACATGAAACGATTTTACGGTATGAGCGCTTACTTTCCTGTTGGCCAGTTAGGTGGCCTATCACCTATATCTGAATATTGTCATGGTAGACGTGTTAAGGCGGGACTGTTATCAACGTGTGAAGTTTCATTGAGATTGGACCATGTTAACTGAAGTTGTGGAGACGTGTTCTGGGGGACTGTACACTTTGAGAAAGATAGAGAAACATCTGTTTTATAGGCCAAAATCGGACGGAATTCGACACGTCGTCACGGGCAAGGCGGTTAAACATAACAAGTCACAAGTAGGCACAAAACTTATTTGAATCAACCAAATGTGTATTAGAATTGCAGTGATCGAAATTTTGAAGCAATCTGAAATCAAATCTGATAGGAGGATTAGTTAAAAACAGAAAGACCTTAAATGCACGAACTATTGGGTATTTCACAGTTTTGAGATTCGATTCAAATCCTGCACACCTTTTGATGGCACGCCATGGATCACGCCTTCCAAGTGTACGTACACAAATAGCACAATTTTAAGGTCAGGAAGATACTTGATCTGTATCTGACCATTTGAAGTAGATTCTGATAAAATTCCCTAGGACGTAGTTTCGTTCAAATACAAGGGGGCGAAAAATTTACATAAAAATGACCAAAAATTTAAAATATGGCTACTTTGTATGCCATCCCCTAACGACACGCCCTTTAACGTACATACATACAAAAGCAAACTTTAATCAGCACATTGTACTTATACTGACCAATTTTGAAGCAAGTGGTCGATAAATTCCCTTTAGGATGAGTTCTTCAAATATACAAGCGATAAATTAATTCACAGAAAATTTGAGTCAAGAAAAATTGCAAAAATGGGCCAAACTTGACGGCACCGCCATCCCGAGCACGCCTTTCAAACGTACATGCAGTCATAAAGGCACGATACTTTTGAATCATGCAACATTACTGGGTTGACTGGTCTCCCTTGACCAAATTTGAAAGCAGATCGATTGAATTCCCTAGGAGGAGGAACGGTCAAATACAAGGCGAAATATTCGTCCGATTAATTTTGTGAATTAATGAAACATTGAAACGGATGCCGAACTTCCCGTGGGGTTTGGTGTATGGCAAGTACACGTTTCCTACCGTGTTTCGTACATTATCAGTTGAAACGTGGCGCCAGGCTTGCTTTGTTAGATAACCTCTTGTTATTGGGTGCTGCTACTAATTGACCCGATCATATTATATCAAATTTTTTTTGGTATGTGATGCTTCAGGCTTATACCAGTCTTACATCGGCTCCTCTCTCCACACTATTTTTGATTTACCATGCCAAAACCATGAGCTGCTCTCACCTAGTGGCGTGTATCGTTGACATCATTTTATTAGGGGAGTCCTCTAGGAGCCTATGCTGACAATGTCATTCCTACCCAAGTTTCATTTTAATCTACAACATGTCCGATGCGGAGATATAAACTTACTTTTTTTAAATGACGGGTCACCTTGTTTGGCGTTATGGCCTGTATAATTGTTACACGATCCCTATATGGTATGACACTGGTGTGATACATATTTGCGATTCAAAGTTTGTTCAAATTCGGATCATAACCAATATGCGAGAAATGTCTCTCACTTTCCTGTTTTGGGACCAAAAATCTACAGGAAGTAATAAATTTTATTAGCGTGCTTATTTTTTTGAAATATCACAACAATTCTCGACGATTACGTTTTTGCCTAGGACGGTCCCAGATGCTACAATGAAACTTTGCTGGGCAAAACGAACAAAGTTCGTAAGGGGATAACACATGAAAGTTAGTTTTGTGACATTTCGCTGGAAAAATTATCATAGGCGAAAATGGCGTGGCTCATATGGGAAGTTTTCAGCTTAATCACCGAATACTGCGTGCGATTTATTAAGTATTTTTTGAATGGCGACAAAACGATGCTGTGGAGTTATTACAGCCAAAAAAAAAACATTATTGTGTTATGGTTGTTAGGCCACCTGGGTATGTGGCCAAATTCCAAAAAGCTGTCGTCATAGTAATATCGAAAGCGACACATAGAATATAAAATTTTTCGCCACGACTGACATGTGCGCCGAGTTTCATGAGTTTTCGAGCATGTTGAGGCCTCCAAAAATGCGTTTGTTTAGGAGGAAAAAGAAAAAGAATTCCTTCAATTACAACAGGGCCTTCGCACGTTCAGTGCTCGGGCCCTAATTATGTGTCTATCTGCAAAGGATTCTATCTATGTAGACATAGAAACAAGTGCATTCTGAGTAGTGTGATCATAGGCTGCCATTATGAAACCAAAAATCTTTCCTATGAGGGTGCGGTTTTTCTCAAAACACAGCACGGGACCTTCAAAAGAAAGCACATATGTATACTGTAGTAGAACAAATTTGAGGTGGACTACAGGGAAGTGAAGGGCTGAGATCTGCTGCAACAGCTTCACATTTCATTTACATTTGTAAAATAGCAGATGAGATGCAGTCATTTGTTGGATCGGGTTCTTAAATCATGTCGTGACAAGTCCTTGAGAAAAGTATAAAAACACCTAATTCCTAGAATCTTCAATGGTGGAGCTGATTTGTAGGCCAGGGACTCTGTGCAGCTCCAGATTACCTTGTTAAAGAAGCTGTCTGAAACTCTTTTTCTTCCCTGCAGAAAAACACACTGCAGTCTGCTTCAAATTGGAAATGGCAGCAATCTTTTTTTCCCCTTTTTTCAGTGAAACGTGCAGGTGTAGTGTGCCTGTGTGAATCCTTACCTCGGTGATGAGCATTCGTGAGGCCATGGTGAGGCGGGTTCTTGGGGAAAAGTGGCTGGTGATCATGATCCTCATGCCGGCCTCGGAGAAAGACAGCTGGTGGGGGTATGCTGACAGCAGCTCGTCCACCATCAGCACCGACGGCTTCCTGTGGTGGTTTGCTATAGGATGGACACACATGCATGTAATCACACAATATACACATGCACCTATGACCACATGAGAACACATCCATCTACTATGTTCTATACCTTTGCTAGAACGTATAGATTAGTAGCACACAATAATACTAATCCAAGATCTGAGGACTCAGAGTCTGTCGATGCCTCACAGACGCCCAAAATATATCTAGCAGGCAAACTATCTGGTCGTGTCGGGGAGCTCCCACCAATGAGAGCAGACATAGGATTACCTCTCTCCAGTACCAAACAGGAAGCAGCAAACTGTTAGTTAGTAGTAGTTACTTTGGTACCAGCTAAAAAAACTCAAATACTGTCAGGGTTATGAATCTGCCTGTCATTCCCATGGTCTTCTTCTTCCACTGAAACAGCACAGCTAACCAACAGAGGCTATTAGTGAGCTGAGACGACAAAAGCCAAAATGTAAAGTTTGTACGAAATACAGTTTCATCTTCATGGATTATGTTATTATTGATGACCAACTGACAAGAAGACAGTCGACATGACACCCTTTAACTTGTGTTTCTAGAGTTATATGTTTTAATGGACACAGTAGGAATTGTTAAAATGTCATATTTCTTAAAGGGAGTTTGGTGCAGGGAGCTTTTAGTGGAATTGCTTATATGTATAATTTTTAACATTTTGTCACCACAACAAAAACATTAGGTAACTCTATATCATAAGTATGATATGGTTGTCTGACATTGACTGCTGTTTGTTATTGATTTGCTTAATAGTTTAATAATGTGTGTATTTATTTCTGATGCTGGCTGATCAGGCTAATTCTCAGTTAATTGTACTAACAGCAGTATTCAGTAAATTGTTGTCCTTTTTGTGTGTGCTTTTAAACGACTTTCCTAATTAAACATGATGTGCTTAATGATGTTATGACTCCTGATACTACTACTAAGACAGAGAGTTGTGTAGTGTGACCAAGGCTTTTGCTTAGCTTAGCATAAAGACTGGACGCAGGGGGAAACAGTTAGCCTGAATCTTATCTTAGCCTGAAATATTTTCACCAGCACCTGTAAAACTCACTAATTAACATTTGTTGTTTAAGATGGAGTTGTGTTGAAACTACTTCTCGCCCAACAGTACTGCCCCATCCTTCTGTATACCTTTCTTCAGTAGAACAGCGGTAGCATCACAGCCATCGTCTAGTTCAGCGTTATTGGCCGCTCCGTTCCTCAAAGTGGACGAGTTTTTCTGCCGCCTCTCCAGAAACCGAACAACGTGGGAGTTCATCCTGAAACAGACGTCAGGTAAAATCCAATTCACCTTTGCATACAACATGTATGTGCTTTGTTGAGCTGCTGATGAACTGTATTTTTATATTTATCTGCCATACATATCTAATGTAGTTTTACATTTTTCATCAACATTAAATACCACTACTTATACCCAAGCCATGGAGAATACTCACTACTGATTGGCTGTGACATTACACTGAAATGCTTTAACAGGTTAACACTATATCCACCATTAACAAGATTTTCTGTTATTTAAGATTGTTATAAAAACAATCACAATCAACATGTTGGGGACCCCTGCCTTTAAATATCCTAATTAATTTTATCAATGAGTCCCCTTTATTTCTTTAAGAAAAGTGTTTTATGTTATATACTGTGTGTTATGAGACATTGGGCTTAATTACTTACTTCATGATCAAAATGTAAACGAAATACATCAGGATCAACGTGAGAGCTTCCCACCTGGAAAACACAGTTCAGATCAATTTACCATGTGAATTTGTATATTTGAAGCTGTAAGTGTATTTAGGGAGTCTCCTGTTATTAATTATTGGAATGTTATTGTAAACAATCAAAAAATCAAACTTACCAAACAACTTTTTCGTCATATATGAACTGTAAGATGGAAAAGGGAAATGACAGAGAAGTGAAAATCATAAATTTGAATATGTAATTGATATAGCTTTGAAATCACAAGTACTGTGAATACATGAAGGTATAATTACAGGTGGACAATCACATCTCTCTAAAAAATGACACTGAAATGTCATTGTTAGGCCACATACTGGCATATAGGTGACTTATAGCATAAGACATATTTGACAAAACCACTTAAATATAAATTTTGAATTCATGGGGACTTCCAGTGTGATAATAAAATCCAGGGGCATGTACAGACATTTCTCAACACCCATCTTGAGAGCACGAGTCAATTTATCTCAAGAAAACAAAAGGTTGATTTCTCGAGATAACAAGATAATTTATTCCGAAAAAATAACTTTTGGTTTTGCAAGAGTACGTGCAATATTTTGGCAGTAAAAACAGACCCATCGCTAAAGAAAAAAGACCTGTGTCTGTAGCCCAATAGCCGAGCCCAAAATATGTGTAATAATGTATTATATTAAGCTGTTCCTTACCACTATAAGAGCAGAGATGGATAGGGTGTAGTAGAGAGAGTCTCTGAGCAGAGGCCAGCGGGTGAGACGTATTGTCTGGGAGAG